ACACATCGTATTTAATACAATTGCTTACTACAATTCTTTTAACAGTGGTAGGTATGCATATATGTTCATGAAGCATCGAGTATACTAACCAGTATACTTGAAAGTGATGGGAAAGAGCTACTTTTTGGATATTGCTTATTTTCTTGTTTAGTTGCATTTTTTTTTTATTTTTAGTAAAAAAAAAAATTAGCACCTGATGAACCAAAGCAAATATTTCTGTTACTATCTTTTGTTTTCTGAAAAGTTAGTTTCATCTGCACATTTATCTTGCATAAATGGATGCTGTGGTGAACAGGTAATCCACTCGCTTGTATACTATATTTGTGTCTGACTCTATGTGGTTACTGTACTTTAGAAAGATTAACTGAAAAAGCAACAGCCAATTGCTTTAACAGAAAAAGAGCAATGGGCAAGTTGCTTTTTCCCCCTTGACTCTAACTCTACTGAGTGGCTTACAATACAGAGCCTGCTAAAATTCTCACAGAAATCTACCTATTACAGATGGATTCTGCTTTTGAGGGAGCTATGGAAATAGTCATCATTTCATTGTTCCCTGTATGCCACTTTGTAGCAAGGGGAAATCAATACCTGTGAATATCCACTTTGCTCATTTAAGTATTAGAAACTTATCCCTTCCTAGTAGGGCTACTGAAGTCTTGCAATTTTTAATTACAAGATTTCTATCCTTTATTCTCATTTTGTTTTTGTATGTGGTATCATTTTCAGGTCTTCTATCTCTTTGCTACTGTTTGTCAGCTGATGCTATCACAAAAAAGGGATGGGATACATTTACAGCAAGATTTCCTTTTCCTCTTGGCATTGATGTGATTTTATGTGATTGAAGTCTAGCAATCCAGGTAGTGACAGGGCTCTGCTTACCATTACTTTTCAAACCAACAGTTGTTCAACCATCCACCACCCCATACCCCTTCTCCTTTATTTGCTGTTATTGACTTTCCAGTATTAATGGGTGAATTTTAAAAGATGATAAAATTATGAATACTTTGCTTCCACCTTGAGCAAAGTAGAAATCTAGAAGCTGGAAGCAATACACCAAGTGATCTCAATTTTTGTGTGATTAAACCAATTGAGAAACCAAATAGGCTACTATTTAGAAATTTTTTGTCCATTTTGCACATGAAAAATTCATTTCAAGCCACATTTTTCATTTCCTTACATTGACTTTTGTCTTCACAATGAGATCTAGTTATTTAAAACCTTTGGCACTGCCTTTTATTACAATGTAAAATTTAGTAAGGCCAATATATCTAAGGAAACACATTCCGTCTTCCTTGACAAGTAAATTAGTACTAGATTCTTTCCCCTTGCTGTCAATTATTATTGTATTTTAAAAATCCATTTCTGTGCATAAACACTTCTAATGCTGGGATACTATGACCACTTTGAAAATGATCACCCTCATAGTAAGAAGTCTTAATGGTATGTTAATGATCAACTTCTGAAGACTCTTGAGAGTCCCTTGGACTGCAAGGAGAGCCAACCAGTCCATCCTGAAGGAGATAAGTCCTGGGTGTTCATTGCAAGGACTGATGCTGAAGCTGAAACTCCAATACTTTGGCCACCTCATGTGGAGAGTTGACTCATTGGAAAAGACCCTGTGCTGGGAGGAATTGGGGGCAGGAGGAGAAGGGGACAACAGAGGATGAGATGGCTGGATGGCATCACCAACTCGATGGGCATGAGTTTGAGTAAACTCTGGGAGTCTGTGATGGACAGGGAGGCCTGGCGTGCTGGGATTCATAGGGTAGCAGAGTCGGACACGACTGAGCAACTGAACTGAACTGACCTTAATATAAAACCTGTGATGAATCTAAACCCCCAAATAATTAATTTATCCATTCAACAAAGTTCATCAAGCAGCTACTATGTGCCAGAAACTGTTCTAGCCGCTAGAAATAGTGCGGTGAACAAAACAGTCAGTAATTCATGCCCCCGGGGAGCTTAAATTCTAGTTAGGAAGTATAAACAACAAGAAAAAACGTGTAGTACTGTAGGTGGTAATAAGTATTGAACGGAAAAATAAAGCAGCGAATGGGACTGGAAATCATGTCTGAAAGCACTGCAGTAATTGATAGAACAGCCAGGGAAGGCCACCCCATAAGAATATTTGAGAAAATATTGGAAGGCGGTGAAGAAATGAGATAGGACAACTAAGAGATGAACATTCTGGGATGCAGAGAACAGCAAATGCCAAGTCCCTCCTCCAGAACAGTCGTAGCCAGTGTGGCCAGAGGAGAGTGAGCCAGGGCTCCAACTGAGGTGAGGAGGCCAGAGGAGTGGGGTGGAGGACAGATCCTCCAAGGCCTTATAAGTCAGTGTGAGAGTTTTGTTTCTCATCCAACTGAGATGGTGCAAAGCCTTCAGCAGGTTTTGAGCATAAGCATGGTTTGTTCTGACTGAGGTTTCAAGAGGATCACCCTGGCTCTTGAATGAGAGTAGGTGAGGGCAGAAGCCTGAGACCAGGAAGGAGGCAAGAGAAGATAATCAATGTGGCCTTCAAGTGTAAGTAACCTCAGAAGGATTATTGTTGTAGGTGGTCCAAGCACTAGACATATCTTCAGTTTTTGGTTATTCTTGCCTAGAGAATCCTGTGGACAGAGGAGCCTGGTGGGCTGCTGTCCATAGGGTCGCACGAAGTCAGACACAACTGAAGCGACTTAGCATGCATGCACTGGAGAAGGAAATGGCAACCCACTCCAGTACTCTTGCCTGGAGAATCCCAAGGACCACGGAGCCTGGTGGGCTGCTGTCTATGGCGTTGCACAGAGTCAGACACAACTGAAGCAACTTAGCAGCAGCAGCAGTTTTTGATAAATAAGACATATACTTTAAGTAGTACAAAATATAGATCAGGGAACAGTGAAAATATATATTAAGCAGTGTTTGCTTAAAAAGCACACTTTTATTGTCTAGTAATGTATCAGTATTAAAACTAGGTTATGTTTGCTTTATTGTATCACACAATTATTGTAACCATTTACAATTGTGGGTAGTTTAAATAACTGAGATAAATACAGTAATTATGTAGGCCTCATTACTGCAATATTTAAAAAACAATTTTCTTCCCAAGTTGTAAAATTCTTTCTTTATTGTTTTTTTACTTCTGTTTAATTTTTAGATTCAGAGAAGAACATTAAATTATTACAGTATAACTTTTGGAACCATGTTGACAAATATTTAAGGTATATATTAAAAATCTTTAGCCTAGACCACATTGATTTTTTTCATCTTTCGGCTAATTAACAGACACCTTGTTTCTTTTCTTTATATAGTTTTTGGTATCATCTTGTATTGCTCATTTTACACAGCATTTGCTTTTTATGATTAGGAAATCAAAATATGTACCAAGTTCAATTTTGTTATAAGCATTAAAAACTGTAAACATTTTGAGAACTCTAGTAAAAGCTGTTATTGGCAGAATAGCATTCCTCAGACCAGGAAATGTACTCAAGTTATGTGTGACCATGGACTAATTCACTAGTTAAAAGCAACCATTGGGAGCAAGCAGTAACTCCTTTCAATCTTAGACTCTCTGTACCTCCTAGTTATGGTTCACCTTCCAGCTGTGAAATTTTGAGTTCCTGACATAATGCTGAGGATGAACAAACAGCAACAGAGTTGCAAGGTTTTTAGCTTCCCCATGCTATAAAATAAAAAGCAGTAATTTGGAGAAGGCTTCTTGTTTTGGTCTGCTTTTATAAAAGACACAGGACTGGAAGGAAGGCTATCAGCAATTCACCTATTTTAAATGTAATGGATAATATTTTTCTCGTGTTTGCTGTAAACAGTGACAGATGTGCTGATGAATAAGACGTGTTCCTGGACCGCTACGTGCTTTTTCAAACAGCCATGTACAGAGTACAGTCAGGTGTCACCATCCGATCAGATCTTTGACCACACAAGCAGAGCACATGCAACCTCTCCTTTTCCTTTTTCCTTTTGCAAAGCGAAAGGCACTAGACTTGGTCACATGATGCGAGTGACGTCAGCCCCTACTAGGTCGCGTGACCGACACCTAACCTTCCCACTGCCCCGCCCCCTCCGCCGGAGGAGGAAATCTCGCGAGAAATCGCCTTACTATCAGAACTTCGTGAGGTTACCGGGGAGTTACTCTTGAGGGAAGGTGTGGCTCGGCGGTGGTGTTCTCGCTTCCCTTCTGTTCACATTCATGGCCCAAGCAGAGGCTTTTGGGGATTGCCAGAGTCTGAGCAACCCAGTCTAGAAAACGGCGGCGGAGGTGGAGAGTGAGGCGGCCGTCATATCAGAAGTGAAACGTGGCGCGGCGGGCGTCGCCCCTCGCTGGAGAGGCCGCGGGGGAGGGAAGAACCCCGCGCAGAGCGCCCGGGAGCGGGCGCAGTGGCTTCTGCCGGGGCGGGCGCACCGTCACCGGGGTTTGGGGGAGGCCGGGACCCTTCTTTGGAAGCAGCCAGTTGCCCACATCCGGCCCCCACTGTGTCAACACCGACTCGAGCCGAGACGAAGCGTCTGCACCTCTGGCCCTACCGGCGCACCGCGGCGCCCGAGCCGCCCTGGTGCCCGGCGCCCACACCCAGGCTGGGGGCCCCCGCGACCCCCGGCCGCAGTTTCCTCAGTCCATGAATTGCCCCGCTTCTTCCCGCTAAATCGGCCGCACGTTCCGGCAGAAGCCTAATTGCGGGTTTAACTGTAATTTTCCCGTCTCGCCTCCTTCACCTACACTCTCTCCAGGCGTCTCCCCCGCACATCCTCCTCCACCCACCTGGTCTGTCCCTAGACGGGCGTGCACGCGTGAGAGACGCGGGGAGGGAGGGAAGGAGGAATCCGGGGGGACAGGGTGAGAGCCGCTAGCAGGAGGGATTGGGCCGGCACGAGGGGGCTGCGGGGGGAGGGGGTGCGGGCAGGCGGAGGGAGCGGCGGGAGGAGGCGCTGGGGAGGAGCCGGAGGCCCGGGGACGGCGGACGAGGCTTCGCCCGAGCGGAGCGCTCTTCGTCTCGCCGCGCAGTCTCGGAGCCGCCGCGGGCTCGTGGCGGGGCGCGAGGCTGCCGAGGTGCGGGCGGGAGGGAGGCCGGCTCCGGCGCGCCCCGCGCCCGCGCCTGCTGACAGCTGCAGCTGGGCTCGCGCTGTCCGCTCCCGGCTCCGCGGCCTCCGCCCCCTCGGGCTCCCTCCCCTCCGCCTCTACCCCTCCTGCCCCGGTGCGGATCGTTTCGCAACTGCTCGCCTCTCGCCCCGTGCCCGGCTGTTTTCCATTTCCCGGCCCCTCTTCTTAAGTACTTTGCGCCTGCATCTGGGGAGAGGGGCTAGAAAGGGGTCGGGGGGAGCGTCGGGAGCAGAAGAAGGAAGCGAGGCCCGGAGGAGGAGGAGGAGGAGGATCGGCGGACAGCAGGGAGGAGACCCCACGCCACCCTCTCTGGTCATCTCCCCTCCCGCCCCGCCCCTGCGCACACTCTCTCGCCGGCGAGCTACTTTCGGACGAGGAAAGTGAGGGCGGCCCTGGGTGACAGCGCCGCGGGGCGAGTCCCGGGGAAGCCGCGCGTCTGCTCTCGTCTGGTCCGCCGCGCTCCCAGCCAGGGGGACAGCCCGGACAGAGAATGGCTTCGACTACCACCTGCACCAGGTTCACGGACGAGTATCAGCTTTTCGAGGAGCTCGGAAAGTAAGCGCCTTTGCCGGGCACTCGCACGTCCCCTTTCCAGCAGAGGGCGGGTCGCGTTACCCCCGACCCACGGGCCTCCCGCGTGGGGCAAGGGAGTTGGGGAGACGGGAGGAGAGGGAGGAGGGCCCCCGGTGTGTCGGCTCGGAGGAAGGTGTTGTCTTAGTAAGAGGAGGGGACGACGAAGGGGAAAGACCTTCCACCCCGGCTGTGGCCCTTTCTGATAATCCTTAGCCCACCTTCTCCCGCTCCCCCACCCTCCTGCATTAGAGACTTAGTGGATTTACGATCCCTGCAGTTGTAGCTGTCATCCTGAGAAGTGTGCGAGCGCGCGCGCGCGTGCGCGTGTGTGTATGGAGAGGAAACAAGAACCCATGTAAAATGCAACATAGATCACGTTTTCTGTAAATAGAGATGCCGCCGGGTTCGCCGGCGAGTCAGCCCTACGACCCACGTTCAGATGAGAACTCAGTGCCCCAGACGGTGCCATATTTATTGATGCCGAAAGTTCAACTTGGCGTAGAGTCTGTTTCGCATCCAGTAGTTGTTCTGTCCAGGAAAAGAACCTCCCAAAGGAACTCGACCCCCTGTCCCATATCCACTATTATTCCTTGCGCTAGATGACTCGCTTATCATCACCCTTCCTAGGATTTGCGTGAACATCTTCGAGTTCTCTGGGAGGATTTATTTACACCGGCAGTGGGAAAGCCCTCTGGAGACCGGGAGAGTGCTTCCCAGGGGTAACCTAACGTTGTATGTTGTTTAAAAACGACCTTCTACACCTGACCGACAGGACTACTTGGCGATGTTAAGGAAGGAGACAGGAGACCTACTGAGAACCTATGCAAAGGGACCTAGGGGCCGAGCCGTGAACGTTAATTTATGTAGCATCAAACCCAACCCCAGTTCCTCTATCGCTAATGTCGAACATTACTTAAGAGGTGCATTTATGTGTATGTTGTTGTTTTCTACAGTTGAATTAAAGGACTTGTAAATATCTTTTAACTGTAATGAAGATCATATCCCTATATATCTATGTTGTCTGCTGTTAAAACATGGAGAATATGTCGGAAGAGCAGCTTAATTCAAATCTCTCCCCTCCCCCAGCCCAAAACAGGGCAGAGAGAAATCACCACAGCAGGATTTGTTAAACCACACACAAATGTTCCTAAGATTTATTTTAATGAAAACAATCGCCATATTTACCTACTTGGAGCCACATTAATTTTTTTTTCCTACCAAAATAAATAGGCAGCAGATTTTTGCTGCTCCTCTTCAGTTCTTTGCAGGATTTTTTCTCAGAGCATTTGGTACTGTGTGAGTGTGAATTGTAAAATGTTTTCAAATTTCACATGCAAACAAGAGTCGTCATAATTGGCAGTTCCTTTCATTTTGTTGATTAATAATGTGTGCTCCCAGTTAAGTAAAATTTATTTTTGTTTTTCAACGTTAAAGAAGGTCTCAGTTTCCAGGAAGAATTGTTCGTTTTCCAAATATTACTATAGGGTGCACTGATATTTGACAATTCACTAAATTCAATAAAAATACTCAGATGTAAGTTTTTAATAGAATATCAAGCTGATTATATTGATGACCTGCTAATTATTGGTTTTCAGGGGGGCATTCTCAGTGGTGAGAAGATGTATGAAAATCCCTACTGGACAAGAATATGCTGCCAAAATTATCAACACCAAAAAGCTTTCTGCTAGGGGTGGGTATTCTCAACCACATATATGTTAATTGTGTATTTGTCATGTTGATTGTTGGTTCTGTTGTATGTTGGTTGTGTTCTATGTAAATAAGTTAGTTATAATTGTAGCTGTAGGTATCATATTACATTTTGAGATTGTTTCCTTCCTGAATGCTTCTTGGTTTGTGCAGTTTAAAAATGTGATCACATACAATTGTTACTTGATAAATTGTTATTAAAATCTTATCTTTTCTGTGGGTGATAGCATAACTAACTATATTTTAAAGCAAATAAATGTCACTAAGTGCATTTTGCCTTTAGCTCCACTGTGAAATAACTTTCAGAAAAACCCTGGAATGGAAAAATGTAAGTCTCACAACTGTCATTATTCCCTTTAGCTTTTGAGAGAAAAAATAGGTCATAACTCAGTTAAATCATATATTTCAATTGTAGTTACACTTGAACTTAATTCATTAAGGTATATTTAACAGTAATGGCTTTGGGAGGAACATTTTATGGTTGCTATATTCCAGGAAGTTTAGCTTGATTTTGATGTTTCTGTGTGCAGTTTAGACCTTTACTTGATCATCTGCAGTAAGACTTCTCACTCATGTAATGCATTTTACACATGCTTTATAACTGCAGGGATAATTCATACTCATAAAATAGCTGTTGACATAAGCAAAAAACTTGGAGGGGTCTCATTGCATTCTTTTTATTTTGTTGAACTCATGCAAAAGTACTTATACTGAAAGGTTAGGCATTCCAATTATTGTGAGCACGTGTCTAAGGTATTAATATTTTCATGGGAATTTATGGTTTGATGAAATTAAAATGAAGAAAATGCCATAGTGTAAGCCCATTTCAGTGACCTGATTTAAGTAATGAGAAAAGAAATTCCATCAGGACTGCTTTCCTTCTTTAATTTGTCTTCTAAAAAGTGTTGCTTCCTGGTATCTGGTATCATAGCGTCTGGTCTCTGCCATGATTTTTTTTTTTCTCCTCTTTGTTGCAGATTCTGCTTTTAATGTGTACTTTAGGTTGATGTTTCAGTTTATTCATTTAAGTGAAAGTTTGTATTTCTTTTACCTGATTTTAATGAGTCTGAGGACCATCTTATGTGTAAAAGCAAGCAGCACCGTAGATTCAGGACAGGAGAACTAATGGGATACACGTTATGCTCAATTATGTTCTCTTTTTCCACTTCTCTCTACTCCACAGGAGGATTTTTAATGGAGAAAAGGAGTTGCTATTGTACATGACACTTTAGTGTAGAAAAGAAAAATGCAGAGATGTAGTCAGATTCTTTCAGTGCGTATATAATTCCTTCCTGTATGCTTGGTACTTTTGTCAAGAGTGGGGGTATCAGTTCTTTTAGAGGTGTTATAACACCTATCCCCTATCTTTCTGTGGCTTTAAAATTTTCTCTTAAAGTAAATGTCTTGTGTTTCATTTTTACTAATTTCTTAATTAGAATCATCCTTTTCATCCACCACCTTTCATACCGGCTCTACCAGGACGGTAAACACCCCTGTCTCTGCTCACATACGTTTCACTTTACTTTTGCTTCAAACGTGTGAAGATAAGTCTTCTCTAGGCTGCTGAAACCCTTGCTGTTTTTCTGCTGATGTTCCTCACCTGTTCAAACTCTGCTTTCAAGAACAATGTACCCCGAAGCTTACCTTGCCCCTTCTGGATTTAATGATCTTAATTGTTCCAGTTACATTTAGGGAAAGTAGTCAGGGCTAAAACGCTTGCTTCATGTTCTCCCTTTGCAATTTTCTTGTGACTTTGAGCAAGTTTCTTAACCTGCTGAAGAATGAGGTGAAGAAGGTGACTCTGGAACTAGATGCCCTGGATTTAAGTTATGATTCCTCTACCTGTTATTTGAGTGATCTTGTGCAGTTTACATACTTTCCATGAGCCTCACTTTTCTCATCTGTAAAATTGAGTAATAACTCTTTTATAGGGTTTTTGTGACAAGGGACTTAAGATGCATTCCATGAATATTAGCTGCTATTATCTCATTGGGTTGTTGTAAAGATTAAATTAAATTGTGACAATTTAAATTATAAGTCTAGTTGGCAGCCTTGATTTAGCTCTGAGAACCCAATTTTAATCTTGGCTTTATTACTAGTGTACTCAGTATGTGCATTTGTTCTGTCACATAACTTTTTTGACCTCAGGTTGTTCTTCAGTAAAGTGTGGGGAAAAAATCCGCGTATGGTGTCATGGGTTGTTTTGAGGATTCAGTGAATTTTATGAGAATCACTTCTAAAATGTAAAATGCTGTGTCAATTTTACCTGTTACTGCTCACCTATAAGATATTGTTGTACTTTTCCTTCAGAATGTTCAGTTTATTTTGTATTGTCATGCTGATTAGAGTAGTTTATAGAATATTTGTACCTATGCATGTATACATTTGTTAAACCTCTACTCAAGCTAGAAAGTCTTAAGAAAAACACTATGCTTTCATTTTTTTTTTACTATAACATTCTACCCCATCGAGGATGTTAGGAGGGGCTCAGTACAGAGTGACTAGAATCACATGTGGCTGTTAAGTGGTTTGTAAAGGAGTTAGATACTTAGTTCATTCCTAAGAATAAGCAAATACAGGATGTAAAGAAGTCCATAAAGTTGTATACTAAGAGCTCGTGGTTAAAAATATAAATTCTCCTTTCAGAGCACTCCCTTCCCAGATTATGATTTTAGAAAATTTCTTTTGCAGAAAAAAATTTTAAATAATTAAGGGGAAATGTAGAATGAAATGCAAAATAGCATTTACACCCCAAGGTAATGACAGTTTTTTTATTCTTTTGGTTGCACATGGCAGATTTTGTGAAACATGTAAATTTTTTGTACAAATTTTTGTTTGTATTTGAAATGCCTTTTGTAAATCCCAGTCTTATGCCTATTTGTTTCAAAGACCAAGCAGGTCTTCCAACTCCATGTTCTTTAAGTGTAACATTACAGCTGAAAAAGAAAGGCCATTGTCTGTACGTCTAAGACCATTAGAGAATTGCCAAAAATTTGGCTACATTCCTGGACAAATTTGCACCTCCAACTATACTGTCACCTGCATTTTTCTGTGCCTCGATCTTGGTGGATTTCGGGCAAAAAGTTTCAGTCACATTACCCCTCAGCTGTTAGTCACATATATCATGTTTGGGAGACTCACTGTTGAAGAATTTTTCCTTTTGCATTAACACATTCAAGGAGCATTTATTGTACAATTGGATCAGATAGAGAGGTACATTCCGATATAATTGACTTGTTTTTAAAAGAAAAAATAGTGTAGATATGTTCAAGCATCTGATATTTTATATGTAACTTCTGACCTCTAAATTTTTTTTTGTTAGCTTGCTAACATTTACTAAGAAGACGTGCTTACTAATAGTGGATAGTGATAATAGAATTTTCTCATATTGTTAGGATGAGAATGAGAAATTATCATTTTGATCAATTAGGTTAGTAGTTAACAAATGCTAATTTGCCTTGCTGTTTTGATTTTTTCTGTCTATGTTGATGTTCTTATAACTGTAAGTTATTGTCAGATTATGTAAAGTCTATGAAGGATTGTGATTGCAATTCAGAATCCAATGGATTGAAGCTCCTGATGGTTAGATGTCTTTAGAAATAGTACATGTGATTTTCTCATTTTAAAACTTGTGGTAAAATGATTTTTTATGGCACTACTGATTTCTTGATGTTCATCTCCTGATGAATTTTTTGATCTTTAGAAACTATTTTTTATGATATAGTCTGTGATACACCATGTTGTTATTTTGTAAAATATTAAAAAGTACAGTGGAAGCTAGAAATAATATGTTATTACAAGTATATTTTACCTTTATTGCTGAAGTTAAAAAGGGGTTTCATTTTATAGTTCTATAAAATTTCAGATACAATGCAAGTGGATAATTTTGATCTTTGACTTTGCTGGCTTTGTTAAGTCCTAGATTGATATTACTAGAACATGAATCAGGATTTTATGAACTGTTTGACCGTGTACACAAAATTAGGTCTCAGCTATGAAATCTTAATACTGCATATGTGTTCCGAAGTAAGGATATCAACTCAATGTAAAAATTAAAATATAGTAATTCCTTTGAGTTTTTTCCATCATAATTTATGATAAAGCACATAAGAGGATTTTCTTGGACATTTAACTCCTTTTGTTAATTAGAATCTTAATCTGTAAGTCTTTTCCTTAGGCTGATACAGAGGCAGGCCAACTCCTAGTGTCTCTAGGGCTGGGTTGGTATTTCTTTTTCTTTTTTTTTTTTTTTAAGATATCGGACCCTTCTCATTTATTGGAGTATGGTGTGTACAGTGTTTTTTTTTTCCGTAAATTATTGACAGTTAATTGGTGGTTTACATGGAAGGCTGTGTTAAAGCTTTTAAGTTATAATAGTATCATTTAGTGAACTGTACTGTGATATAGTAAATGGAGTCTTAGCAAAATGTTTTTACTCTGAAATATACCTTTATATTTTACATTACTTTGTAGATTACTAAGCACCTTCACAAAGGTGACCTCATTTTATGTTTTTATTTGATAAATATTTAATGATAAAAGTGGGCAGAATGTTAGGAATAATAAGGCCATCTACACAAATAGACATCATAGAAGACATAAGTGGTGTTTTAAATCTAGCATGAATAAAGTGCTGTGGAATTTCCAAGGAGGAAAAGATTGTTTCTGCCAAAGGAGATGAAGGAAAGCTTTTATATAATATAAACTTAAATATTTAAAACCATAATGCAGATGGGTTCAAGTACCAAAGTCTAAATAAACAATTTGGGGAGTGTTCAAAATGGTTTAGATATCTGATTATAATGAAAGTTAGTTTATTCTCTTGGTACTTTTGTTAAAACTATCAGTAAAAAGTTATTTTTGTTGTAGGAAATTTTTTAGGTTATGATTTTTAGGTTATAACTGATTATGATTCCAGTTAAAGTAGGTATCTCAGTACTTCTTAAGGTGAACTCGTAGACCTTGCATCTGCTATAACCTCTT